ACATTCATTACTTTCATCAGTGCAGTTTGATCCATCAAGCATCCATTGAGCACCTCTTACTTGCCAGACCCTGGATTAGGTGTGAGGGACATAGAGATGAGGAAGACAGTATCTCTCTTTGAAGTGTTTCAGAGCTCGTAGGGGAGGCAGATGAGAAAACAGAGAATTTCTCTAGGATTGTGGTAAGGGCAGTGATGGTGGTGGGCACAGAATTATGGGAGCACAGAGCAAGGCCCTTTTCCTCAATTATCTTTTCTTCCTAAGAATCCCATTGCTCCTGCTTCTAACAGATGGAAAAGGGAACCAAATTGTAATTCCTGCCCTTAAGGACAATTTGAACACTGGGAGTTAGGAAGCAGCTAAAGGCCAATGAGCATCAGCTAAAGGCCCAGCCGATAGCCCTCCTGCACAGGATGAAAGAAAAGAAAATACCGCTGTTTGCCAATGACATGATTCTATATATAGAAAACCCTAAAGAATCCACCATAAAACTATTAGAAATAATCAACAACTACAGCGAAGTTGCAGGGTACAAAATCAACTTACAAAAATCAGTTGCATTTCTATCCACTAATACCCAACTAGCAGAAAGAGAAGTCAAGAATGCAATCCCATTTATAATCACAACAAAAAGAATAAAATGTCTAGGAATAGATTTAACCAAGGAGGTGAAAGACCTATACGCTGAAAACTATAAACGTTATTGAAAGAAATTGAAGAAGACGTAAAGAAATGGAAAGATATTTGATGCTCATGGATTGGAAGAATAAACGTAGTTAAAAATGTACATATTACCTAAAGCAATCTACATATTGAATGCAATCCCAATCAGAATCCCAGTGACGTTCTTCATGGAAATAGAACAGAGAATCTTAAAATTTATATGGAACAACAAAAGACCACAAATAGCAAAAGCAATCCTGAGAAAAAAGAACAAAGCTGGAGGTGTCACACTCCCTGACTTCAAAAAATACTACAAAGCTATAGTAGTCAAAACAGCATGGTACTGGCACAAAAACAGACACACAGATCAATGGAACAGATTTGAAAGCCCAGAAATAAAACTATGTATCTATGGACAGCTCATCTTCGACAAAGGAGCCAAGAACATACAATAGAGAAAGGAAAGTCTCTTCAATAAATGGTATTTGGAAGACTGGACAGCTACGTGGAAAAGAATGAAAGTAGACCATTATCTTACACTATACACAAAAATTAACTCAAAATGGATTAAAGGCTTGAATGTAAGACCTGAAACCATAAAGCTCCTAGAAGAAAATATAGGCAGTACACTCTTTGACATCAGCCTTAGCAGTATCTTTTCAAATACCACGTCTACTCAGGCAAGGGAAACAAAAGAAAAAATAAACAAATGGGACTACGTCAGACTAAAAAGCTTCTTCAAGGCAAAGGAAACCATTAACAAAACGAAAACACAACCCACCAACTGGGAGAAAATATTTGCAAATCATATATCCAACAAGGGGTTAACTTCCAAAGTATATAAAGAACTCATACAACTCAACAACAAAAACACAACCTGATCAAAAAATAGGCAGAGGATATGAATAGACATTTTTCCAAAGAAGATATACAGATGGCCAACAGGCACATGAAAAGATGTTCAATATCATTAATTATTAGAGAAATGCAAATCAAAACTACAATGAGATATCACCTTCACCCTTCAGAATGGCTATAATTAATAAGACAAGAAATAACAAATTTTGGAGAGGATGTGGAGAAAAGGGAACCCTCATACAATGCTGGTGGGAATGCAAACTGGTGCAGCCACTGTGGAAAACAGTATTGAGATTTCTCAGAAAATTAAAAATAGAAATACCATACAATCCAGTTATCTCACTAATATCTAATCTAGATATCTCACTAATCTCTCACTAGGTATTTGTCCAAAGAACATGAAATCAACAATTCGAAGAGACTTATGCATCCCTATATTCACTGTAGCATTATTCACAATAGCCAAGACATGGAAGCAAATGCAACTGCCCATCAATGGATGAATGGATAAAGAAGATATGGTATATATATACAATGGAATACTACTCAGCCATAAAAAAGGACAAAATTGTGCCATTTGTGACAACATGGATGGACCTTGAGGGTATTATGCTAAGTGAAATAACTAGACAAAGACAAACAGCATATGATTTCACTCATAAGATAAACAAACACATGAATGAGAAGAACAGATTAGTGGTAACTGGAGGAGAAGTGGGTAGGGGAAGGGCGAAAGAGGCACATGTGTATAGTGACAGATAAAAACTAGACTATTGGTGGTGAACACGATGCAGTCCATACAAAAACTGATATGTGATAATGTACACCTGAAATTTACACAATGTTATAAACCAATATGACCTCAATAAAATAATTAAAAACAAAAAAGAAGTTCCGAGGTCCAGGGGAGCATGGAGCCAGAGGCGGCATGGTCCTGCCTGGAGTGTGGTGGGGCTTGGAGGACTTGGGGAGTAGGTTGGTTCTGCCAAGGGCTGCACTTAGTGAAAAGAGCATGGACGTATCTTGTGGTTGGCTATGTGAGGCCCCTGCAACAAATACCATATTTTTGCTTCTCTTTCAAGTTAGCTTTACTTTTATTCTCTTTCCCCCGTGAGCTGTCTTATTTCTCTGACCTTTGCTTCTCCATTAGCTTTTATTTCTTCTTATTTCCCGTCTTGCTTTCATCTCCCTTTTCTCTCACGACTCACTCCACTAACTTCCCATTCTCCTTTCCCTCTACCGTTTTGTCTTTCTCTCTACACTTGTGCCTTCTTGTCTTTTAATTCTGTCTTCGGCCCCTACCTCCATGTTCTGAAATGTGCCTTGTTCAACTCAGGGCTGGGGAGGGAATTTTCATTTGCAACAGCCTTTTTTGTGATACGAAAGAGCATCTCGTGTGTGTCTGGGTATCCTGGGAAACAGAACTCTGGTGTCTGAACGGGGCAGATTCTACCCGCTGTGTTTGTTAGAGCGAGCCAGAGGGAGAGCGGTCTCCCCATGTGCATTTCAGAAGACTTGGTGCAGTGCTCCTTCCTCTGTTAGCAGAATCCGCAGAACAGTGACCCCATTCTCCTAGGGTTCTGGTTCTCTGTCACTACACCTACCCTTGAAGTTTCTCTTTCTCTCTCTCCTCTTTCCTTTATCTTTTTCTCTTTCTGTCCTATTTTTCAGTCCTATTTTCCATGTTTCTCCTTGCTCTCTCTTCAGTTTTCCTCACTTATTAGAGATTATATCTCTCCCCTCCCTAATTCCTCTCTTTAGCCTTGGAATAGAGCCAAAAGCAGTGTCAGGGACTCTGCTTCCCTAAGCCCCTCCTTTTCCGATGAGGGGATGGAAGTTTGGGTCGGGAGAGAGGGAGCAGACTTGGGAAGCGTGCCTGTCTCCTGAGATTCTTTATGAGAATAGGATTTCTTTCTGGTTCTTATTCTGAGGTTAGATTAACATAGAATGATCAAATCTTAAAGTTGAAAGAAATCTCTATCGGTCATTTAAATGACCTTCAACCCAATGTCAGAAACTTCTTCACTTCCTAATAGATAGTTCTACAGTCTGTGCTTGAATACTTGTAATGTCGGGAAGTATACTACCACATCAAGGAGTCCACTTTGTTGTTGGCCTGCACAGCTTGTTTCAGAGTTATTGCTCGTGATGATAATGTCCTGGATCTGTGTAATTTGTACCTCTGGATCCTATATCTGCTTTCTAGAGAGACACAGCATAAACCTTTCATTTGCATTTTCTTTTAAGTATTGAAGGCACTTCAGGTATCTTCTTCAATACTTGAAATATTTCCGAGAGGTTCCACCAAAAATAATTAAATGAAATAAACCATTTTTGCTACCCTTTGACTATATAGAAAACTCAGTTTTCTGAAGGACTCATTCCCCAATAGTTCCACATAGATGAAATTGTCCTGGAGAAGTTAGGAGGGAGAAAAGGCATTACACTGCAGAAAGAAGACTACAATTAGACAAAGTTGCAAAACCAATATTACTAATATTTGTGTTCGACACAATGTGTATTTTGCACATTATAGTTTACAGAACACTCTTAATATTCAATACCGTGTCCTTTCATTTTTATAATTGGCCATGACTCTCCCACTTTGTAGCTGAGGGGAGTGAGGCTCACAAAGGTTGAGTGACTTGCTTCAAGTCACCCAGTTCTCGAGTGCATGAGTCAGGACTTAAACCCAGTTCTTTGACTCTTAGTCTTCTGTGTTTTTCATAAATACTTAAGTGTCTTTGTCTCTCCAAAGTACCTGCAACGCCATGGGAAATAAATTGTCTCCTCAAGACAAGGTACTTGGTGTACACAATCTAATAGGATTGCTATGGATTTTTGTGTGCGTTTCTGGATATGGCAGCAGAAGTGGAAAAATGGAAGCAAAGAAACCAAATCCAGATCATGCAGTGATTTGGCGCAATTATAAAAATCCTGTATGGGGACCAGTGAAGTTATTCCCTAATTGTAAGCATCAGTGAGATTGATTTGTTTGGTGAAAATTCTAAGTGTCAAGGTGGAGAAGACTGAGTTACTCCTTTACTGCAGTTAATGCAGAGAAATTCCCTGGAGGAGATAGGGGACAGGAGAATCTAAGAGAATTTTGAAATAAAATGTGTGAGGGTAGGTTGGAAAGGGGGAAGGAGGTTGGTGAGGGGCAGAGATGGAGAGTAGGGGACAAGGTTGGGGGCGGGAAGGGGACAGATGCTGGAGACCTTGTGTTTTATTCATGATTTGGAACTAGGATTCTTATATGATGATAAGTTTTCCTTCTTTGTAAAGTGAAACCCAGATGTGGCTAAATTTAATTCCACGTGGAACCCTGGTGATTCACCCAAGCTCAGGTGTGCCCACACGCAGCCGGCGTCGGCTCTGTGTGCTTTCCAGGCTGATCCTGTCTTAACCCACCTCCCCCATGGAAAAGGGGGAGAAAGCCAGACTGTGGTAACCTTGACCCTCTGTGTCTCCATCTGCAGCATCCTGGCCACTGCAGGAACCCACTTCAACACACACGTGGACCTGAGGACCCTCCGGGCCGTGCGTGTCTTGAGGCCCCTGAAGCTCGTGTCAGGCATACCTAGTGAGCACTCGCCTTTCTTCTTTCTACTCTGCTAATAGTGTTACTGACGTGTCCTCCACTGGATCCGAGGGCTAAGAGAATTTGGGATAAATAAGAAACAATTCCTCCTGGAGGAAGCCCCAGTGGTAATAAATAGTGGGAATGCAGCAATCTGGCATAACATTTCATTTTTAAATTTAGTAGCTTTTTCTTGGGGGGGATGTAAAAGATAACGAAAGATCTTTATAGAAAATTTAGAAAGTAAAGAAAATGATACAAAATAAAAATGAAAAACACTCATCCTATGACTCAGAAATAACTTTGGTTAACATTTTAGTATATTTTTTCATTCCTTTATTCCTGTGAATTTTAATATAATTGGGATCATTCTATATATGTAGTTTTGGATCTTGTCATATGCGGTTGATTTTCCTGATGTTAAAAAGTGTTCAAAAATGTGATTCTAAAATCTGTATTATAGTCTTTCTTAGATGGGCCATGACTTAGCCATTTTTATGTTGCTGGGCATTTAGGTTATTTCGTTTTTTCCCAACTAGAAATAGTGCTGCAAGAAACATCTTTTTACTTAAATCTTATTCAAATCTCTGATTATTTTCTCGGGCCAAAAACCCAGAGTACAATTTCTGGGTCAAAGAATATGGATTTTGTGAATAGTGATTGTACTAGTTGTGCTCCCTCAACAGTGGATGGGGGACGGGGTCTGAGATAGAGTGGTGGGGAAGATCAACTTTGTTCTTGCTCTCATAGGACCTCTAGCCTAGCAGGGCTAGGCCTAATTCCCTTTTGGAAAGAAGCACATTCTACTAAGTTTAATCTATAAGGGGAATCCAGAAGACAACATGGGTGGAGCAAATGAGGGAAAGCTAATAGGCAGGTAAATGATCAGGGAATGGTGAGGAGGAGGGAGGGATTGATCCCCAGGAGAAGGAGTGATGGCAGTCTTTGGCTTGACTTGTCCTGCTTATCCTTTTGTAAATTGTGTTTATCATCTCAGGACCAATGGTTCTTTTCCCTCAAAGACTTGCCCTTCTCCTAGAAGAAGGGAAACTGAGGCTGCTATATCAGATGGTACTAAGTGAGGGCTCCACTCATCATTCTCTTTCTTTCCTTCCAGGCCTGCAGATTGTGTTGAAGTCCATCATGAAGGCCATGGTGCCTCTCCTGCAGATTGGCCTTCTGCTCTTCTTTGCCATCCTGATGTTTGCTATCATTGGCTTGGAGTTCTACAGTGGGAAGTTGCACCGAGCATGCTTCATGAACAATTCAGGTAGGGTCATTATTTTTTGTCTTCTACTTCTTCCCTTCCTCTCTCTTTGGGTCTTTGGGGTAATTTCAGTGTATTTGGAGACTGGTTGGAAAAGTATGTCCTATCCCAAGCCTAGAATTAAAGTCAGAAACTTCCCAGTCAGCAGCGTTTTGAAGCACAACCAGCCAAGACTAAAGATCTCCACTGGTAGACTAAAGATATCCGTTGGATATCGCAAAGCAAATAACTTCTTAGGTTTGCAGTCAGAGGATTTCAAATGGGACATCTCAGTTCCCCCATCTCATGGTAGAAGGCCATCAGAATGCAGGTCAGAAACCATTTATCTGAAGAAATACCGATTGTACAATGGCCTCTCTGGCCCACAGGCCAGGGAGACTCATGAATCCAGAGTCAGACTTGGGTCCCTCCAGGTTTGTGGAGACATGTTTCCTTCATGCTCCATCTCATGATCTTACCCCCTCTCTATTGTGACCCGTACATAGTGTGGAAGAATTGAGGGAGCTCTGAGTTTGGCTTGGCAGGGGTGCTTGGGAGATTGGTGGGGTATGCAAACCCCAGGTTCTTGTCTCTTTGTATCTTATTTGTTCTTTTCAAGTTGAGTAGAGGACCCTAGAAGGAAAGGGGGCAGAGGAGAGGTTGAAGAAGCCTAGTTAAGTACCATATTTTTTTATGAAAAGAGTCTTCAAAGGACATTTTCCACTTTAGATTTTTATTTTTTATTTTTGGCTTATTCAAGACCAGGAATTGAGGCCATAAAAACGAGTAGTTAAGACCCACGGATGGGACCGTAGTATATAATTGTCCCCAAGAAGCCAAAAAAGAACTCAAGGTCTATCCTGGAGTCTGAAGTTAGAAAATCAGTGAGATTCTGCCTTCACCTCAGACCTTTCTGTGTGATCCAGTCCTGAATTCCGTGGTACTCAGGCAAGGGTAGAGGATATGACGTGCAGAAAGTGGGATGCCAAATGGAGAAGAGGCTCCATTTTCCGAGGAGGTTGGGAAATATTGGGTTGAACACATGGAATGCGAGCTGTGAGGTGTAGAGAGGCCAGAGGGGAGGCAGCCCGAGACAAAGAAGGACAAACCTTTCTATGTGACATAGAATTGTGTGCTTGTGGCTTCCTGGGGTCATTTCCAGATCATTCTGAACACCATACGGTTTATCCTCCACCCTCCAAATGTGTCTGCAGGTATTCTAGAAGGATTTGACCCCCCTCACCCATGTGGTGTGCAGGGCTGCCCAGCTGGTTATGAATGCAGGGACTGGATCGGCCCCAACGATGGGATCACCCAGTTTGATAACATCCTTTTTGCTGTGCTGACTGTCTTCCAGTGCATCACCATGGAAGGGTGGACCACCGTGCTGTATAATGTGAGTAGAGCTGGCCAGGGGCGGGAGCAGGAAGGAAGATGTGTGGAATGAGGCTTCTGGCATTGTTTGGGCTGGTTAATCTGGGGAAAAGGAGGGCGGGAGGTGTATGTGTGTGTACACTCAATCATGGGAAGGCTTTGCAGTTCATATCCCTCCATTGTCTGGCCTCTTGCTAAGTGGAAGTACACAGCTTCTTAACACAGTTAGGAAATTGCATCTTACATTGGATGGGTGAACAAAACTAGTTAAATGCAGTTATAGAGTATGTTCTGCTACAGGTTCAACATGGTGGTGGGGTTCAGTGAAGGGTATCGACCAAAAGGTATCGATTTCTTGGTTGCTGTCTTCAAAGAGCTACCATTGGTCTGGGAAGATATTACAGTAGTTCTCAATCTTGGCTGCACATTAGAATCGGCTGGAGCCTTAAAAATTGACACCACCTGGGCTCCACTCCAGACAAATTAAGTAGGAATAGCTAGGGGTAAAGGCCTGTCATTGATTTTTTTTTACATATTCCCAGCTGATCTAATACACAGCCACTGTCAAGAACCACTGCATTACATGCACTTCAGAAACATGCTTAATTGTAAGACTCACTAGGGGTTCTTGTTAAAAATTCAGATTCACAGGCCATGTTTGTGCAGGTTTTGATTTTGTGTAGCTTTGAATAGTTGGTGAGCTGTACTTTTTACAAGTGCCCCTGTGATTCATATGATCGGGCATGTTTGGAAGGTTCTGAGGTGGTATGTAAGACCAGGCTGTCTAACTGCCTGTCAAGGATGCTAGGGGATTTCTGTACAGGGACAGAAGTTAAACAGGGTGACCGCTGAAGTCTCTTCCGTCACCTGGAGTCTGATTTTAACAAGTTACGAAAGGCGTGGTACAGAGTCTAAGTTCTAAAATGAGAACTTAGACTAAATGGGGGGCGGTGGTGTGTGGTTTGATGCATAGGAAACCTAGGTGGGCAAAGCAGTCTGGACAGGTTGCCTTTGTAAATAGGCGCTTACAAAGGTCTCTACCCTTATATGCATCCAGCCAGCCCACCCGAAGGGAGACACCTTTGGAATGGTCATCCCTTACCTGCATTCCAACAGCCTGCCTTTACCCTAAGGTGCCCTCTGTTTCCTTTTAGCCTGATTCCATCTGTACAAAACTTATTGGGTGTGGCACAGGGTGGCTTATACAAAGCCCAGTTTAGAAGGAACTCTGGATATAATCTACAGTGGAGGGAAAGGAAATGCTATGTCTCAGGATGGAGTCAACCAGATTGTAATGCCTGGAGAGCCAGGATGTGTGTAAGGCCTGTACAAGTAGGTGCTTGCTAAATGTCCATTACTAACCTGGATCCATTCCCATACAGGTGGAGCAAGGCAGGATGGAGCTTTGCAGAAAAGAGCCATAGGCTGTTATGCTAAAGCTCTAAAGGGCAGTGAAGAAGTCCCAAGGGCCAGCTTATGCCCAGCAAGCCCAGGGGTTATGTGTGACCTAGAAAAACCTTGAGGACACTCTGAGATTCTCACCAGCTGTGAGGGGTGGCAGGAAGGAGGGAAGGAAGGCAAGATTGATGAATACAGTCGCTCCTCATTTGAGATGTGAAGGATGTCTTGAGGCCATGTCACTCAGACTAGCCAGGCACCTCTGGAAATTACAGCACTGGCCCCACAGTGGCTGGTGTCATTTGTTGGGCTTTGGGAGTGATGTATTTCAATTATATGTGTAGACTCACCTAAGTGATGTGAGAAATGCATTGAAAGGCTGAGAGGAGAAGTGTTGTATTTGAAGATACAGGCGCGTTCTGTTGGTCCTCTGGAGCCGAGGCTCAGACGGTACTGAGATAAGCAGGAGCACAGCTGAAGAGTCACTCATCCCTTGCATTAGTTCCTTTGTTCATTCATTCATTCTTTCAACACATACTAAGTGAGCATCTACTGTATGTCAAGAACTGTGCTAGGCATTAGGGAAACAGGGAGAGGAAAAAAAAGTGCCATGATCCCTGCTCTCATGGTGCTCACTTCAAATTCCCATCTCTCTCTGGTTATCTACCCAACATAGGTATGGAGGTCACACAAAGAGACAGTAATCTTGCTCCTCTCTCTAGATTCGCTCTTTCGAGGAAACGGGAAAGAGAAGAGGTCAAGCTACAGATCCTCTGAAACCTTTCATTGCATGGGCTCCCAGGGCCAGACGCCCGCTCCCTCAACTTCCAGCCTATCAGTCACTGAACTTCAGTTTACTGAAGGCCTCCTGCTACCCCTGTGGCTGGATCCAGGCTTGAGGGAACTAGTTGAGCTGTAGGGCTGGTTTCTGAAAAGTGACTGGCTTCTCTTGGTGCAAAATGAAGCTCCACTTAGAAATGACATCACTTTCCAGAGCATTGGATTTAGGGGCAGGGAATGTAGCCAGGAATCCACAGGCAGAGGTGATAGGCATAGTTAGGTGGATGACTACACCTTGATGCAGGAGAAGTTGGATGAAAAAGGCACCAATTTTCAGCCAGTGGAACAAGGACAAAGTCTGGTTCCCTAGGAAGAGAGAGAGCCAGCAAAACTAGGCTTTAGTTGAGCAGGGAACTGGGGGACGAAGCATGACCCAGGCAGAACTTTCTTACAGGAGCTGGACACACGTGCTGGAGTTAGGGTTGTCTGCTAGCAATAGAGGAGCAGGTTCAGAGTAGTGGACTCTTCATACTTTTGGGCATAGGGCTTGCAGTATATGGTGGAGACACATCATATAAGCTATTCATTTACCCAAATTCAGCCATTCAGCTTGAGCAGGAAAGAGGTAAGGGAGAGGTAGGAAAATAATTTAAATAGTACAGACTAATTCACCTCCCATTCCTCTCAATGTGCTTATTATGCCCATTGAAAGTGTGAGATTAGAGATGCCTAGGATCTTGGCTGAAAAATTGCACATTCTGGTAGCCCATGTCAACCATGCCTGAGTATTTTTCTTTCTTCTCTTAACTTAGGGCTTTGTAGTGATGAAATTTTACGTATATATTAGAACTGGTTGCACACCATGGAATTACCGATCAACAACTAGTCAACTTAATGTTATAAATACATGTATGTACATATGTATGTTTCTGCATGTAGGGCAATTGCTCACTGTGTCATTATCACCACCACCCACCACTAATAAGATGCAAATATAACTGTTAATTTCCCTTTCTACCACTTATTCTGGGAAGGCCCAGTTCATCCAGCTGCTGTATTTCCTCACACAGGCTACAAGGAAAGGGGAGCCCCTCTTTCCCCACCCAACGCCTCTTCTATTCAATGGTGGCAACAAATATGTAAGATTTATTGGCACCAGTTAAGCCCAAACCAGTTGGAGAACCTTCAGGTTTACACCGTACACAGAAGCTCTCTCAAGCATGTGGACTCGGTTTAACCTTTTAATATACAATTTAAATACTTCCCTCCTGTCTGCATCCCTTTTCTGCTGCACGAACTCTTCCTGAATGCCTCCTGTGACCCTGTGTTGCTCTGCCATTGATTACTATTAACTTCATTTGTATGCAGCTTTTCTCATTATAACATGTTATTGTAAGTGGGGGAGAGTTCCCATTGTCAGGGCAACCTGGAGTCCTGCGTGCTCCATTTAGTCTCTATCAGAACTTCAACTCTGCTTGGTCAAACTCCAACTGTATTCTTGGCTTCCCTCTCTCTTGTGGTGGAAAGAATGCAAAGCAGTCCATGGTTCTGCTGGCTGCTGCTTCCTGAGTTGGCTGTCCCTCCAAAGGTCTCCTCAACTTGCAAACTCTCCCCTATTCTTACTAATTTAATTCATTTTCTTTCTTATAACCTGGATAAGTGTTCCTTCTCCAGTACAATACATTCTCCCTCTGATCAGTGCTGTTCACTCTACAAATGTTTCTTTGGCTCCGGTATTAACTTCTACCCTCTTCACCTGGGCTAAATGTGGCTCTGAGAACTGGCTGTCTCCTGATTCTGGTCTGAGTTTTGTTTCTCTGTTGTCATTCTGGATTTGTGTTATCTGCTGTTTGTGTTATGAGGACTAATATATAGATTGCAGAGGTTCCCATTCTCTGCAGTTACTGAAATCTCTTAAAGTCCCATATTTTTTCATCTGTATTTCCATTGAGCTATTTCTCTTCTCACTTGATGGTGATAAACTCATGCAGATGTGGAAATTTCTTGGAGGTGTGCTGTTTCTCCTGCTTTGCAGATATGCCAGCAGTATCTGTTGTGACTGCCTGGGATGCTTTGTGCTGCTATTGTGCAGGAGATTTTTATAGACTTGACTGGCTTTTGGCAAGAAGAGGCAACTTGTAGTCTGGATACTTTCTGAGAGTCTTCTGGTCTCATCAGAAGTCCTTTGGTCTCTAACAGTGCCTATGGCTCTTTTTCAAATTGTCTTCTCCCGGCTGCACATAGTTAATATTTGTTAAATGGTTAACTGCTATCCACTTTTTGCCTTGTTGACATTTTGTTTATGTGTTATGCATAAGCACATTGAAAGAAGAACACCATATCCAAGGGTTGATGAAAAACTGCCATCTCCAGTTTCCTGAAGCTTCTCTGATTTTATGGTATCTACAGAGAATGCTTTGGTTCTGAGTTCCACGAGACTAGGGGATGTTTCTACTCATCTTTGCTTCAGTCTTCTCCCACCACCTCCTCCACATGCCCTGGGAACAGAACATACTCAAAACTCATTTGACAAATAGGGGGCAGAAACCTACCATCATCTTATGGTGTTAGAGCAACGAGGTATACCAGCTGACCGAGGATGAGGTATATAGTTGATAAAATTTGTAGACTCCTGTGTCCAGGATCAGTCATGCTCTGAATTAGACTAGTTTTTGCCCCACATCCCTGTCTGCACTGCCTGTTCCTGTGTCCTTGCAGGAGCCTGGGACCCTGTAATATAGATGACACTTGGAATCTGATACCAGTGTCTGTTCACCTGTGGTTTGTCTTATACACAGAGGAGAGGATGATAAGTGCATCCTGAAAGTTGGTCTGTCCCCTTTC